GTATTGTATTTAAGAGTCCAGATTACCATCGCACATTTATACACTTTTATGCTTACTTTCCAAAGTATTTATATTCATGGCATATATTAGAAAGAGGTGTGTTTGTCACCTCACTGTGGTTTTTTTGCTTTTTTGCCAAAGGATTGTTTTTTTCCAGCCGCTGATGTCCTGGTTGACTTTCACAAATGTATAATAATAATAATAAGGGAACTTTGAGCATATTATCAGTAAAACATTTCCATGAACAATGTCAATGAGAAATTGAATGTCACGTATGTGTGTTTGAGTGGTAAACAACAACATTACATGACACTTGTGCCAGCTTGAAACTGGCAGAGGTTGGACTGCCCAGATGTTAATTTATTATGAGCTCATACAGGATGAATTATGGATGATTTGTGTGGTTAGCACAATATTTCTGTTGCTACCCATGTATAATACAAGAGGCATATGAAATCTGCACCTGGCTTGAGTATCTTCTAGGGCTCTAGGCTAACTAAGCCTATAGGTGCAGTGGTGGGCAACCTACAGCCCACAGGCCGCATGCAGCCAATCGAGCCCCTCGTGGTGGTCTGGTCTAAGTGTGTCTGGGGGGGTGATGCGTGGGGTCATGATTCTCGTGCGCAAGCAGTGTTAAGGTTGCCGCCCACTGAGGCGAAGGAGAGTCACTCGTGTGGCCCACTAACTAGTCGAGGTTGCCCATCACTGCTATAGCGAGGAGCTGTGCTATGTATGGACATTTTGGGAACTAATAAAGGCCAAATATTGTACAGACCACACCACTCTCATGTGTGCTGTGTTGACATTAATAGCTTCTCGCGAACAGTACTTATGCCAACAGCCTGCTGTGCACGCACCAGTCTCTGAATTCTGTTTGTAATATACATATTTCATGATTCTATTATGTAAACTACTCCATTCTCATTATGCATTCATTTGAATCGATCAACTTTTCAAATGAGTTATATGCGTTTAAAAAATAAATAAGTTGCTCCGCAATGTTGGAGGTGGCAACCACAAAAATGTTTCGGCCACAATATAACTAAACAATCTTGATGCAAATAAGTAAACATATGTGCATCTCAAGTAATTTTTGCATATGGCAATATTAGAATGTGTCTTGTCGGCGTGAGTTTGTGAAAGCAAGACAAACACGCGCACAGTCATGTTCCCATTGGCAGTGTGCTAAAGTCACATGTAGTGTCTGTATCGGCTGGCAAGGTGTATGAACTTCTCTAGTGAGGCCAGAGCACCACTGTTTAGAGGTTTTTTTTGCCGTGTAATTCTTAAGTGCGAAACATGCGCGGGTTATTGGAATCCATTCTGCATTCATTGAAAAAAAGTCACAAATAACAACGGATAATTGGAATAGGGCCGTGGCTAATTGCATTCTTTGCGGACATTGCAGCTCCCGCTGATAATATAATTAATTATGGGAGTCACGCATAATAGATTAACGGATAGTAGTTCTTCCATAATGCACGACTGTATTGTAATTGCAAATTATTAAGCAAGTGGATTGGGCAGGATTAGTACTACTTCCTGTATATTGTAGCAGAATGTGTAATTCCCCATTTTCATGCGCCAAATACTTGAGTACATTACCCCAACATTTGTTTCCAAGTGTTTAGACAACTCGAGTTGGCTGCCAGTTTGTGCACGAGTTCCAACGTCTGCCAGGCGATTTCTACATCAGAAATACGGAGAAGCGGAAAACTTACATATTTCTAGGAAAGATTTGCCCAACTCAAGTGAAAACCCGAGTAACTCAGAAAATCATGGAAACTCGAGTTCTGGGACAAATCGGGCCAACTTTAGTGCAATCGAGTCGACTCAATTTGACTATGAAAGCAAGGCCGAATTGAGACAATGCCCTGCACATATGTGGCATACAATTCTACAGCACTACGTATCAAACGCATGAGTTTTAAGTGGGACTCTGATGTGTATGATGCGCTTCTCATAAGGCAACAACCAACCAAATGTAGGTTGTTAGCGCCCCCATCTGGGCTGCAACTGGACCACAACGCAACAAAAATTGCAACATACACAAATGCAGTGGCGATTCTATGGCAGGGCTTGGTGGGGCGCACGTACCCCAAACGAGTTGCAAATTATCCTTATGGCGGTACCCTGGGGTACCAAATAATACTAAATGGGCCGAGGAAATTAAATATGTTATTTCTGGGACACTAATTTTTCCAGGGGTGTACTTCACTCCGCGACTGGGGTACCAGTCAATCCGAAATCAGTGCAATACTCCGCGATGTCGAAACGCAGCGAGGACGATTGCGCTGAAACCCTGAACGCTCGTACGCACCGTAGTGGTGGTGCATCGTGTACAGCTCGTCGAGATGAGTCGATTGCCGCATCGCCGACCATCAACACAGACTAAAAATGACTGCATCACGAACATTATGCGAGAGCCGGGGTACTATGCTACCCCGGGGTACCGCCATAAGGTTCATCAGATGTTCCTTGCAATGTCTCTTCAGAGGCAGCTTTTGAGGGTGACCTGGGGAAGTTCTAACTACAGTAATTATCCTCACTACGACGAATGTGAACGAACTCCATGTGCCTTATGTAAACAGCTCAGATAATTCACCTGTGTTAGGACTTCTACGTGCATTTTTGCTTTCTAAAGTATCTTTACACCTGTATTCTTGCCGGAAAGAGTAAAGCCTATTCTTTTTTTAATTTTAAATATTTTTTGTCAATGGACGGAAGTCTGTATTCATGTATTTATTTTTAACGTTCGCTCTGTGAACTCTCCCCTGTGTGGAGCTTCCAATCACACGACTCACAGCTAACTACTGCACGCTAGGGCTGAACGATTTGGGGAAAATATCTAATTGCGATTTTTCTGACATATTGCGATTTGATTTGCAATACAATTTTTAAGTCAAGCTTCAGTTCAATATTTACTGTTTAATAGATTTAAAACATGTGATGGAGCATTACCACATGATACCATCAAAATATAACTGATCTATATATGTTATAATACAAGAATGAGAACTTAAAAAATATGAATTGCTTCCAACATGTATTTATTAACATGTTTTAATTGAAATAGAACAATGAAACGTAGAACAATTGTTAAGTGAAATAAATAAAGTTATAATAATAAATAAAACTTCAAATAAGAAAGAAATAGGACTTTTCAAATCGCAAAAAAATCGCAGCCTTTGTGATTTGCTCATCGCATTGTTTAAAATAGCGATTTCAATTTGAAATCGATTAATCGTTCAGCCTTACTCCACACCAGGGGCGGTTTCTTCATTAGGGCGATTGGGCGACGCACCACCAATGTCATTCAACCACAGAGTTACGCTAGCCGTCACTGTGCCTCTGGATATAGCCCAATCAGCGTCATGTCACGTTCTGTGGAGTACCGCCTCTTTTTGGGCGATTTCCCTCCGGCTGAGAATCGCCCCGAGTGGCTCCATAGACTTACATTCAAAGATGTTTTTTTTTCGAACGGCGGGCGCTCCAATGCATTCTCTATGGCTGATGACGTAAGCACGTTAGGGCTCGCCCTAACGTGCTTACGTCATCATACGTGCTTACGTCATCATACGTAAGCACGTTTCATCCAACAATATAATTTGTTGCCACCTAGTGGAATCTTTAATAAAAAAAACTTGAGTGGTTTGTTTTAATAGTGAGTATAGAAACAAACAAGATGTATTGTAAGAGTCACTTTATTTTTTATTAATATTAAATAAGTGAAGTTGCCTTTACATGCTTAAGCTGTTAATTTATCCATTGCATGGGTGGACCTTATCCTTATCAATCATCCAGACATTTGCACCCCCTGAGAGATTTTGCAGGAGCCGCCACTGCTCCACACCCCCCTGCCAGAGTGTCCCCAGTGTGCTCTTCGCTAATTTTTAGAAGAGATATCTTCACTCATTTGCAGAGGGGATGGGGGGGGGGGCACATTCGCCGATAAGTCATTACCAGTGTGGGGGCCGCCACACATTTGAAACCATTGGGGGTTTCACAGCAGCACAATGAAGATGATGGGGTTGTGTTTTCACATTTTACTAGTAGGAACCTCCTAGTTACACCAGCCCACAGGGGATGATTGTGTCCGTCGTGCAGGGAGGGAGGGGCTGGGTGGGGAGGGGAGGGTGGGGAGGGGCTGGGTGGGGAGGGTGGGGAGGGGCTGGGTGGGGAGGGGAGGGGAGGGTGGGGAGGGGCTGGGTGGGGAGGGTGGAGAGGGGCTGGGTGGGGAGGGGAGGGGAGGGTGGGGAGGGCTGGGTGGAGAGGGTGGGGAGGGGCTGGGTGAGAGGGTGGGAGGGGCTGGGTGGGAGGGGAGGGGAGGGTGGGGAGGGGCTGGGTGGGGAGGGTGGAGAGGGGCTGGGTGGGGAGGGGCTGGGTGGGGCTGGGTGGGGCTGGGTGGGGAGGGGCTGGGTGGGGCTGGGTGGGGAGGGGCTGGTCACTCCGTGGTACCCTTATAAAACTCAACGTTTAACCTACTCACGCCGGCTTGTGCCCGCCCTCACAGTCGGGCATATTTGCGGAATACACCACGCCGCCGTTGACCCTGGCCATTGACCGAGCAACCCAACGTTCCTACCAGCTCCCTCCGCAGGAGGAATGTGTCATCTTCTTGGTTTTTTCCGTAAAGTCACGTAGAAGGGAAGTAATAAAATGATAAAAATAAAACATAATAAAATAATTCTCACGACGTTTCGGCTACAACGCAAGCAGCCGTCTTCGGCTGCTGAAGACGGCCGCTTGCGTTGTAGCCGAAACGTCGTGAGAATTATTTTATTATGTTTTATTTTTATTATTTATTATTATTTATTACTTCCCTTCTACGTGAATTTACGGAAAAAAACCAAGAAGATGAATCCCTGCAGTCACGAAAGCTTTAAATAGGAATGTGTTAGTTTGTGTATTGTTGCGGCGGGGTTGTGGGGAGCAGCAAGGCAGGGGCCGCACTAAAGGTCACCACCAGGGGCCGCCAGTGAACCCGCTGGCCTTGAAATGAAGAACACCGCCCGATGCTGCTGCTGCCGCTGCCACTGCCACTGATGCCCTTCGCCCGGGCGGTGGCGCATCTTCTCATGTCCCTCGGAGCCGGCTCCTCCAAGCGACTCCGCACCATGCCTACGATCGGCACGCACGACGGCACGTTCCACTGCGACGAGGTGCTCGCCTGCTTCTTGCTGCGCCAGCTACCGCGGTACAAGGTGAGTTGAGTTGAGAGAGAGCGAAAGAAAGCGAGAGAGAGAGATCGAGTGATCGGACCCCGACCCCTGCACGCGTGGGCCGCTCCTGCCGGCGGAGAGACGAGGAAGGCGGCGGCGGTGGCCGGCGAACGAGGCCTCGCTCCGCGGGGAGTGGGGGAAGAGTTCCCGCAGATGAATTCGGCGATGTCGTCGGCTCCGAGGCGAGGGCAGTGAGGTGTTTGTGGTGATAGTACTGTGTTGTTCTTGTTGTTTTGTGTGTGTTTGTGTGTCTGCGATGTTGGTTTGACCAGACGAACACGTGCGTTCATTGGCATTAAGCACTGTACGGGCACGTGTGTATACAGTGCAGTCCTCAACGCGTCCGGTGCATTTTATGCGAACACGGGATGTGTTTTATAGTTATTTTGAAGGTGACTTATGCAAATGATCGCGAGTTATCCGAATGTATTATAATCCATGTTTACAGATACCGGTTGTCATGCTATAAGGGTGGTCCAGATGTCTTGTGACACCGCCCCTCCCCATTTAATTCTCTAAAACTTAATGGGGTTTTTTTCAAATAAGGTTTATTTAAAACAGAGATGAATATGCAAGGGGAAAATAATTTTAGGGGTCAATTAATTGGTGGGGGGGGGGGGTTCAAGACACCTGGACCACCATGTGCACAGGCACACTCGTGTACTAGCTGACAATACTGGGACTTCCGATTTAAAGCTTTCGTGACTGCAGGGATTCATCTTCTTGGTTCTTTTGGTAAAGTCACGTAGAAGGGAAGTAATAAAATAATAAAAATAAAACATAATAAAATTAAAATTATTTTCTTATGTTTTATTTTTATTATCATAATAAAATTAAAATTATTTTATTATGTTTTATTTTTATTATTTTATTACTTCCCTTCTACGTGACTTTACCGAAAGAACCAAGAAGATGAATTCTGGGACTGACACTCAAATGTACAAACACGCGGGGCCGGGCTCTTGCATGCCTAGACTGTACCCATTCCATTGATATACCTCCTTAAGTCAAATATATGTGCAGACTTTTTAAGTCAAATATATGCGCCGATCTAACGCACATCCATGCGCACAAAACACTGTTTGAAGTATTGCTAGCATTATTTGCAAACAAGTGCAAGCGTGCGCACATCCAGATAATGTGCAGACTTGCAGTAGTGCAGTGTATAGGCGGTGTGCATTCATTCATTAATTCGTATTGTTACGTTCCTCTATACAAACACGTGTTTAGAGTAAGACCAAAACAATTCTGGCGCTCAAATGCACGTGTACAAACCTGTGCACCCACAAATGCGTGCACACACATGTCCAAGCACTCGCACTGCTGATGCTAGCACCAGCATACGTGATCCACCAATCCTGTATCTAAAGTGCTGGTAATGGCAGCTCGGGGAGACCGTCATCCAGCTGTCGGTGATATTTGCTGGTGAAGATGAGCTGATCGTAGTGCTGTCTTGTAATTGAGCAACCTTGATTAGAATGTGCATAAGCAGTCCAGCCAGGCTGACCCCTGGATCCCTATGTGTTCCTCTGCGCGTGGACAGGATGCCAAGGTGGTGCGTACCCGTGACCCAAAGGCTTTGGCCACATGTGATGTAGTGGTGGACGTCGGTGGTGAGTATGACCCTGGACGTCACCGCTATGACCACCACCAAAGGTGGGGCTCGCAACTCTTCACTAATTTCCACCATCTGACACTTTCTTAGCACCATGAATGAGCGTCTTGCTTGATAAGAGCAGATTTCTGTGCGGGGTGATGGTGTGACTGCATTCAGATAGGCGTCAGTATTCGTTGGGCTATTTTAATAAACACAATAGGCAGGAAGGACAAGTTAAAAGGGCTCGCATAATGCACGTGCATAATGTACGTTGCCTCAGTAATCGTACCCCCCCACAATGTGCAAGAGCGCAGCTGCGTGGTCAACACATCTACGCCTCTATATAAGGAACGAAACAGTGAGACTTATCCACAAATATGGCTGTCGCCTGATTAAGATAGTTGTAATTGCTGGCGAAACGTCGTACTCGGATTGTGAATGTTGTGGCTTTGCTCTCCAACACACCGGCATGCTGTACTAGTGATGAATTGGCACGTTCTGTTTATGTGACAACCCTTACTAGTTGGCGGTGTCGGGTGGTAGCGGGTTTTAACGACACATTTATATTCACGCGATCTAACCCAAAAATCTCTATTATAGATTAAGTTCATATTTTTTGGTTCTTTCGGTAAAGTCACGTAGATAGAAAATAATAATAAAATAATTAAAACCAAAAACTCACGACGTTTCAATCGCAAAACAAGCGGTCGTCATGAGGTGGTCGTCAACAGGCGACCGCTTGTGTTGCGATCGAAACGCCGTGAGTTTTTGGTTTTAATTATCTATTTGAAAATTATTTTATTCTTTTCTATATATGTGACTTTACCGAAAGAAGCAAAGAATATTAATTCCTGCAGTCACGAAAGTTTTAAGTCAAAAATGGAACTTAAGTTCTTTCATCACTGCAATGTTTTGTTTATTTATTGTGATGCACTGTGAAATATCTAAATTGTGACACTTAATTTGTCTCTGAAGTACAATATATCACCACCATGTACAATGTTTACAGAGGGGGGTTTGTTTTTTGTTGTCTGGAATCGAGTTAGAGTTGCACAGGGGCTCGCCATAAGAGCCCCATTCACAGCACACGGCCCACCTCCTCCTCTGTCGCCCAGTGTGTCAGAAAAGCCAGAATGCCTCCTGTTAGCTGGGTGCAGTAGAACTCCTGCCACACTTTGGCAGAGACCAGGGCCTTGAATGGCATCTCCTTTTTAACATAGTGTCTTATCTTCGCATGGTTGTTATTTATTCTCAACATACTATTGGGGTTTATTGAATCACTTCGCCACTAGGCGTTTAATATTTCATCGATTATGATTTACAGTTGATTATTGTGCTTACAATTTCATGCATTGAACCTCGTGTGTAAAAAATGCCTCTTCACTTATTTCCACCAAGATATTGCATCTTCAAGTATTTTATTTCATTAGCACATTCGACGAATCTTGTGTTCTCACATGTCTTCGAATGCAGGTTCTTCAAATTGCAATTTGACATTTAGTCTAATGCAGCAAACAAAACTGCACAAACAAGACAGAATGAAATTAAATAATAATAATGTTATGGTAAACGTTATATGAGAAGAAACTTTACCCTTGAATTGTGACATTTGAGTGAATCATTGTGGGATGTTTCGTAATTTATAATATCCCTACTTTCCATAATTTCCAAATATGCCTGAATTACAATATTACAATGCACACTGCATTTTTTATATTAACAAACTGTGGTTGCCATTTGTGCTTGCGCGTGTATGCACAGGTCATTTGCGGAGAGCATGCATAGCCTGTGTGCAGAGAAGCCGTGGGTGACGAAGCTGAGCAGTGCGGGGCTGGTGTACTTGCACTTTGGGGAGGAAGTCATCACCAGCATCACGGGTCTGGGTAAAGAGGATGCCAATGTCACGACGCTCTACAACAAGGTAACTTAGAATACGGTGTTTCACGTATGGGGTTTGATTGCATTGGCGGAGGGCCATTTAAACCTGGTGGAGCCCCTTCTCCTTGGTTAATGGCTCCCTGCCAATATTTGAATCGCACCCAGAATGTATAGATTAAAACAAAAACTTCGAGTATTAGACTTAGAACGACAACAGCTTATCATATTCGTGTCCTGGTTGATAAATTGCTGGCTATTAAGCAACACATTTAGCTATTTTTCCACCAAATGTTGGTGGAAACTGCTTTCACGCAAATACACGATTAGAGCCCTGTGTTTTTGTTCCCAGCATCTCCACGGTGATGATGCAATTGTGCTACTATCATGTTTTTGTATTGTTTGTTGTAACGTTTTTACCCGCCCATACTGGACATCTGGAAAATAGCTTTTATAACTCATCGGATTCCTCCAGGATAAATTAATATTCTGATCATTTATAATGTGCCCATGGGAACTGCATTATACTGAACTACATTATACATATCATCAATGTCCAAAGACAATGCAAGGGATATTAAAGTTTTGTAATTATACTATATTAGAAAAGTTTGGCTGGCTGGAGGGAGGGAGGGAGGGATGGACATGTCCAAACGATGTGCGGGCTGCTAGGGTAAAATTAACAAGTCATATTTAAAAATACTTTTTTTAAAACACGCTTTAATGAAATGTACCGTACTCATAATGGCAAAACTCCACGACTCCAGGAAGTGGCCCCAGTGGTGATTTACAGCCAACGTCAGTTGAGCGTGGACATTTAGACCCAAGCCGAAACATAACATATAAAAAGAATGTTTCCAATTTTTTTAATGATATAATATAGTATTGGCACCAGTATGACATACGTATACCAAGTTTGCAGTCGATACCATATTGGGAAGTGGGTTAAAATTGAGTTACAAGATTTGAGGATACAACAACAGACAGTGAGTTAATAGAAAGCGTGTAAAATGACTTAATTGCATTATTCTCTAAGAATGCACCCTGCACTAAACGGTGCTATACTACAGTTGGATCAGTCATACAGTTACATTTAATACTATTCAAAACTTCCATACCATAATTTTAATTATATCACCACAGAGAGATTTCAAATTAACCATTAGAAGAACTACTCTGGTGTTTGAATTATGTTTTAATTAGGTGCATTTTCGGTGTGAAGATTTCATTTAAGATTTACAAATCGGCAGCTGCTTTGGTAAAGCACATTTGAGGAAATGTTTACGTGAAATAAATTCTCCATAAAAATAATAATTAGTGACCATATAGTGTAGTGATAATTTAATCTTTATCACCATATGCCACTCTGTGAAGGTAAACACTGGCTTGCATCACGTTGGGGAGAAGAAATTTGAGCTCACATTTCTCCAACTGCAAAACTCAGCAGTATTCAGTATGACGCCCGAATTTGGCTCAACTGTTGTCCCTGACAACGTTGTTTTGTATAACTTTGTGATATAGTACTTTGGTTAGATTTCACTGGACCAGTAGCTCTCAACGTTTCTGGATCCACTTGATATTAATTGTAATTGGAAATGGTTACATTCTTTGATGATATAAACCGGTCCTGGGTCTTGCCTAGGTCAACTCAGCCATGTATGAGTATATAATAGGTGACGTTTTGGTCAATGGTCCTTCTTCATTGCACATATGTGTACGCTCATGGAAATCACTGACTATTTAGACTGATTTTTTTTATTGAATGTGTCGGTGTATCATTGTTAAATATCCAGCAGGGGGCAATGTTACATTGGGCACGAGTGATATAATACATCTCATACACCCTGAAATGTAAATTGCACGCCTTGTTACACATTCTTCAAGGAAGCCAAATTGGCACAGAGTTGTGTGTTTCTAGATTGAAGTGTATTTACGGTTTCTTCAATGTTTAGGAACGGGGTTCACTCCTCAAAATACTTGCCTCTTAATTACACCAACAATGTTTTGATTGTGATAAGTCAATAATTTTGATCAAGTGAATGAGTCATGAACATTACCTCCTTGTAATTTTTGTTCTCAATGGCACATTTAATTACCCAGGGGTTTGCTATGGATGGGGCACTCATCTGATGCTGTGTATGGTGCTTACTGTGTAGCTTTTGAGTGTTTGTGTCATGTCCATCCACTGGGTTTTTTGCATTTTCAGGAGAGCGATAAACATTGTGTATTTGTGTGGCCATCTGCCCATCGCTGCTGATTGTTAATTAGGCTTAATATATTCTGCAGCGATGATGAAACGGGGATGGATAAAGCGACTGCATCTACATTTATTGTGAACAAGCCTTAGTTAATGAGGATCAGATTGCATTCAATCCCAGAGTAAAATAACTCGAATGAATGTGAATGCCGTATCCGCTTGTAATATGTGATTACGTCTGGGTGTTTGCATATCAGAGTAAGCCAGACTATAATAATGTCGCCGGTTCAATTCGATCTCCAGCCGTTGAAACAATGAGATAATTTCTGAAATCTCCCTACCCCTCTGTCCATTCAGCAGTCTACATATTTGCAGCACTATCAGTCGATTGACAGGTCCGTGGGTGGTGGGGTAAAACGTTGGTATTCCCCTCTGCTGCCAAGTTGTCTGGCTGGTCAATTCTCTCTATAGGGGCTCTCTACAGTCCCCTCTAGTGGAGGCCCTTCTGCCAGCAGTGGTGTGAGCAAGCAATTGCAGGGCTGCACCTTTATATTTTATATACACATTTATTTATGTAATGACCCCACAATTGTAAATGCCGTTTTCTGCATTTTCATTCATTACATGAATACATATACATTGTGTAACAAAACCCACTGATTTGACATTGGGCACATTGATATTCATATTACAATGCTGTCAGTGTCATTTTTCTGAGATTTACATTTAGAAGTGATGTCTGGGCACTGGGTTAGTTAAACACTGGTGTACACTCTGTGTAATCTACTGTAATTATGCACGGAAGTTCAGAAGGAAGCTGACTTAAGCCTAACATTCAGCGAACTGAGTGCAAGTACAAAGGTGCTGCTGGATCCAATGAAATATTTTATTCCGCATTTTTTTTTGAAACTTCATTTTAAAATTGTAAATTTAATTTGATATGCCTATTACGTTTTAAAATGTCACACGTAGGCTTTCGTGACCAATATGAATCATTATTTATTTTTGACTCGAATTGTGTCGGTGAAATGTGTGTCGTAAACCCTCCTCCACCCGACACAGCCAACATAAAAAATGACTCTTAAGCCATTGGGTTTAACGTCAATGGGTGTGTTGTGCAGTGCAAATGCATGTCACCAACTTTCGAGGATATTTGAATGGAAATTCTTGATGCATTGTTAAGGGTTTTATATTTTACATTTTAAAATAAGCATTGTTCACGCGCATTTTGGAAGGGACTGCATACGTGACATGACAGTCGAAAGAACAGTGTAATTGTGTGTCTTTGGTCCCTGCTACAAGAATCCTGAAGGAAGGAGAATGCATAAACTTTACAATGTTTTAGTTCTTCTTGTTTGTCTCCCTCGGACGCAGAGGATCGAAAATAATTATTTGCACACCAAATGTTGGCGCATCTGCTGACATATTACGTAATTTTCCAAACCACAAGAGCAGATAGACAATTTTCAACAACAAAAAAATCAGTTGAAAACAAACAGTTTGGGTGCAACTTGAACGAGACAAGCAGCAAAGTAGCAATACTAATTTCAGAATACAGTAATGAAATGCTTATGGAGGTATTCGTAAACATCACTTTTTTTTCCAGAAGGTAGATAACATGGGTCAAATGCGGGCTGAGAATCGGGTTTAGTGTTGAAATATGACTGCACAAAAAAATATTTCTTAAGTATTGGTTTTGCATTTCATTTGGTCCTATTGCAGCTCTGAGAATTAAAAACACCAGTTTTTCATTCGATAAAAAGTCATAGAATGTTAGGGAAACTGAGATCTCAACTCTGTAACGGATACAAATGCTACATGAAGCGTTGATTTTCTCAATGTAAGTTAATCTTGTTGCCATTCTATCGCTCACGGGGAGGGTCACTGCTCTGTGAGAGTTGACTGGTAGATATATAGCCCCGGGGCTTTAAGCGAGAGCACGGGGGGGTGGGCGGGTGGGCGGGCAGAGGGGGCCCTAGAGGGGAGCGGATTGCGGTGAAGGGGATGAGAAAGGGGATGAGTGTCGGAGCGCGGTTCGGTTGTGGGGGAGAGCAGGGAGGAGGCAGTGTGGTCTGTGGCGATGGTGGGGGGAGCGGTGGTGTAGCGGTTAGCGCTACGCTGCGCAACGAACCTGCAGACCCGAGTTAGATTCCCGCTCACGGCCACCAACAACCCAGTGACGATTATCTTAACCGGTCCTGGGCCTCCCCTAGGTCGACTCAGCCTCAAATGAGTACCCGGTGCGGCGTGTAAACATCGCCACTGGGGAGACAAAGGCGGCGGGGCGTGGTGCTGGCCACCCACCCCCTTCGTGTGCGTGCCGTTCTGGCCTTCGTAGGCGCTCGCTAACAGCACTTGCCCCAACAGTCTGTTGCAGGCTACACGGGGGATCTTTGTCTTTTTGGTGGTGGTGCGAGGGACGGGCGGGCGAGAGGGGGGGGGGGTGCTTTGATAACATCAAGGTGATGGAGGGGCCTTGTTGACTTGAGGTAGTTGTACGTTGTTGTCAGTGTCCCCGAAGGATCATCATTCTGTGTGGCCATTTTTCCGCCCGCTAGATGTATGAGAAATTTGTCGAGGAAGTGGACGCCATCGACAACGGAATCTCGCAGCATGACGGCGAGCCTCGCTATGCCATCACGACCGGGCTGAGTGCGCGTGTTGGAAGGCTCAACCCGATGTGGAATGACCCCGACCACAGCGGCGATGTGAGTACACGTGCGTACGTGCAGGCGGATGTACAAAAAAGCGTGCAGAAGCGCATATGAAAAGCACACGTGCATTTTCCAAAAAACATCAGCAATTACTGAGGAAGTACATTGGGGTCTTGTCCTAGGTCACCCTCAAAATAAATTTGAGGAAATATGACCGATTGACGGCAGTAGTGATACTTTGATTGAGGATTCATCAGTCCTCATCACAGCTAACGTCACATCACTGTTTAAGTGACATTGATTGTGAATGTTCAAAATAATTAATGGATGCTCCTGTTATTCCGAGTTAAAATCCAGACAGCAGAGTCCATTATTAAAACTGGTTCGCAATTTGATTGTGCTGATGGTCCCAGGCCAATCCACATTGGCTGCACCAAAGTACATAATGTATTGCATAAATAAGTACTTTTGCCTTCATCTATTATTGTAACTCGATCCTTGCCATGCACCTAACTTCATAAAGCATAATCGAGTGGCATGTGGTGCTGAGTAAAAGGCTTAACATGTGACTACAACGTTCTGTGGTGTCACCTTTCCACCAGCTGTTCGCTATGTATTGTGGCTGTTAAATTGTGTAATGTTGGAAAAAACGGTGCTATCCTGCATCAGATTACTGTGATAGCATAATTGAGATTGACGTGAATTAGTGAAACAAATCTTAAAACCGTAAATAAATAAAGATCGCTCAGATTTTCATCAATCTTTCAAAGATTTGCTGATCTGAATCAAATTCAATGACCTTTTCGAGCTGTTTGGGGAAATTCAGCAGCCAAAATAAAGTGACATGGAGCCCAAAAACGAATTGTAATATTTAGACAGATGTGCACTGAATAGGGACACATCACAACACTCCCAGTATGCTTTGGATGTCAAGATGCCATGACCATTCTTGCTCATGGTCTGAAAAATACCACAACTTCCGGCTTCCTTTAGCTGGTGGCTACCACTGTGTTTGCATAATGTGTAAGAATGATCATTATCATAAATACTGTCATGTACTTTAAACCTACAAACTTAGAGGTATTTACACTTTGGGCTAATGACATTAAACCGGTCGTATGTGAATTAAACATCCAATCTGATGCTAAAAAGAAATCGCTTAAAAGACGTTAAAATAATCGTTGGCTGCCTGCTTCAGAATATTTTTTTCTCGCTAAGATTCTGTATTAGAATCCCAAAGTTCCATGCCAAGTAAAAAAACAAGGTTTCTTGTTTATTACATTGGTGGTCATAGCTTAATGACTTAAGATAACATTTAAAATACAAATGTGATTTTTCAAAAAATGTAGAAATTCAGTCTGGCACTTCTCAGAGTACATTTATTTGATAATTACTGCAAAAGTAAAACCTATTTTGCATTAAATGCAGAATAGTACAGAGATGAGACTAGGGTCTTTATGCATCCTTCAAATTCTCTTTAAAATTCTTTGCATTCACGTGCAACACTGGGTCTGTACTTCACAATGGCAGCTGCTCGTGATACGTTCATGACACGGAGCAGTGATCAGATGTCCTTATAGATAAAATGTATCTTGAATTAACAACCATTATTTAATTGTATTTATTATTATTGTATCGTATAAGTACCATCCGGATATTCTTTGGGTCTTTTGGTGAAGTCACGTTGCTTTTTGTTATTTCTTTGTTATTTTTTTTTTACCTTTCTATGTGATTTTACCGAAAGACCCAAAGAATATGAATTCCTGCAGTCACGAAAGCTTTAAATCAAGATTTACCATTCGGATGATTAGTATTCGGGAAAAAATAGTGGAGAAAGCCACCTGAAGAAAACACTTGCACTGAACAGCCATAGAGATGTTTGACTTCAGTGAACCCCACAGGACAGCTGTCAAACTGACCTTTACTGATTGATGATACATTCAATAAAACAATACAGATATGCGTATATATGTAGCACTCGGCGTGTGGAATATCCCTGGGTGATTACAATAAAAAAAGCAAAAAAGCCATTGTCCAATCAATCAAATTGCAACCCAGTGTAAGGTGATGTTGAGGCTCAAAATTGGTCATCATGCTGTTCAGACGATCATTGATAGCCTTTGAACCTCAAAACCCATGTTTTCGGTGAGTGTTTCACATATTGACCCCATTTCACAAATAAACACCGTGACAAAGTCAGACGTGTGACATGAGCTTGAAAAGGTCATTGTGCAAAATGTGTTAACTGTGCTCCCCCATCCACCCTAACAGCCTAGACTTGGGTTTTTTTTGTTCTTCGATGGTGCTGATGAATACAGTTTTAATAATGATGTTGTAAAGGATGTAATTTTTTAAGTTGCATGAAGCTAATCGATATATATATATATACTACCTATATTTTATTCTCTCACACGTGCACATTAGGGTAATGGGTTTGTTTTAATTTGTGTTCTTTGAAGCTGTCTGTATATAAATGGTTGTTTTTCCTTGCAAAATGTGCAAAATGATTTGCACATACGGAATTAGTGTCTATACCAACTTAAGTGCAATCTTTCACTTCCCAATGTGTTTACGTTTTGTGAATTCTGATTATATGAGGTGTTGCAAAACTATATCCTGCCTTGTTAACCTAGGCCATCCATAGAGTAACAACCAGTACAAGACTGATTATAATTATAAGCAGTCTGTACATTAACATGGTGATATAAAATTATTTTGTGTGGTGTTGCAAAATGCCACAATACCAGTGGAAAAATTGTTGGAAGTACAAGTCAATGCTAGATTAGGTGTAGTTATTCTTCATATTGTCCCTATAGGAGACATCAAAAGGAGATTTTTTTGGGTCATATCTTTCAATGTTGGTCCCCAGTGTGATTTTTCCAGGAAAGCTTTGCTGAGTCAATATTAATTTTCAGGAGGGTTCTGCTTTGAGGATGTTTGGCCAGTCTAGTTAATGTAACTTGAAGTGTTATTGAATGTAGGCAGAACATTTCTGGAGTTGATTCTTAAAAAGTAGTACCCTTGACTGCTTTGGCCTAATCGTTATATAGTAACTGAATATGACTACAGTTTGATTATTATATAATTATGTGCTAAATATGGGAATTAGAAGGCAAAGGTCTTCACATCGCTTTCAGAGGGCCCAAGTGTTAATGTGCTTTAGCACTCGTGAAAAGTCTGTCATTGCAGATACACCAGCAGCACCAGGCCATTAACCCATGACTCCTTCCCCATGCTGTGAGGATTTACTGCTGGAATGCGTATGTTTGTATCAATATAATACCACTATAGATGTCATGTGTCGGGTGAATTCTAATATTTGCATTTGCTCTGTGGAGAACATCAGCATACAGCCACAACCATTGACAAATGGCAAATCATTTTATCATAATATAATTCAACATACCTATAAAATATACACATTCACCTATACAAAAAAACACAATAACATGCATTTACAAGGTGCATACCAAATCTCCCTGCCAAGTCCCTCAATCTCCGCCTCCTGAGCAAGGTTTATCGGAATGGCACGGGCGTTTGATATGCACCTCTTACAAATGTTATTGCAGGCCGCCAAATAAATTACGAACGCTCTTAGCAGTGATATTTAAGGCCCAATGTGCTCTGGTTGAAACCAACAGAATGCCATTAACTCATAGGTGTATATGTACACAGAAAGCTTTCCAAATTACAGTCCTCGACAAAATACATGTCAAACTTGACACTCCTCATGGTAAGCAAATATACCGACTGAATATTCTGCTAATTTGACAAAATTAAATCCATAATTCACAAAGCTGCAATATCCAACAATTAATGTATTATATTTACCCTTTGCTTTCCCATTATTGGGAAATGTACTCTTGACTGCAAATATTGTGTTGATGTCTTGTAAACTTTGATGAAGCGCAAACGGGTAGCGCGTACTGTGTGAGCAACTGGGCTGATTTCTTAACAGGGCCATCAAGTTGGGACTAGTTGTATCATGTTTTACTCGACAGTGTTTGATACCACATTTTAGTTGATTCAACCTTCATGTCTATAACTTTGTACATTTTACTGTTTGGGTAAGATAACTTTTATACAATACAGTGCCTTGCTCATAGCATATGAAACTGAATTTCACCCCAGGGAAAAAAAAAATACCTTAAAAACTATCGTATCTGGGCTCATGGCTTCCAGTTCAAACCCACATTGATTCTCCTACTTGTGTTTTTAAGGCTTTAAATGAGCTTCCTCCACCATACATCCAGGAGTTGATTCAGCAACACACCTCCACTGAGATCTCTTGAGCTCTACCAATCGTGCCCTACTTAGTTGTAACTGTGCTCCAGGCTTCGAACCTGTGGTGACCACCGGGCTGTCTGCATGGTGCCCAGGCTCTGGAATTCCCTGCCCCTGGTGGTCAGGAACTCACAGTCAATGGAGACGTTTTAAGTCCCACATTAAGACCCCCACCACCTGTTTATCAAGGCTTCATCTTTCTCTCTCTATTGTACTCTACCTCGTCTCTTTAGTCTTTTTCTTGCGTGGTTATTTCTCGCTTATTTTCCTTATTTATATGCATGGCTCTCTGCGATCCACTGTTTAAGGGTGCCTTATACATCAAAATTGTTATGCTAATGGTGTGATCACTCAGCCCTGCCACTAAGGAATTGTCCTGAACGTTCCAGTGTTTGTATCCGATAACCTGGCTGACCACTTAATACCAGCTGAGATTTTGGTGTAATGAGTTTGCAGTCCATGTACAAATACATATAGCTTTGTGATTTGTGTTTGCAAAAGCTATACAATTGTTAGGTATGCATGCCGTGCTCTATATTTAAGTTAATGGAAATGCAAAATGTGTAAACATGTAAAATATTACATTGGGGAAATGTGTATTTAAAATGGGACAAAATCACAATGATGTATAAACTTATATTCCAACTCCTTTCTTTTTTGAGAAAAGGTTCACCGATTCTGAAGACTCTTTGGGGTGTTTGTTTACCCAGGAATGCCTCGCTGAGTCAAAACTCTTTCATGAGGGTCCTGACAAGTTTTCAGAGTAGGGA